GAATTGAACGAGTGAAATTTCATTAGCTTCAACTACCTCCGTGCATTGCGAGCGAAATATTTGTTCGATAATCACGTGGAAGTCTCGACAAATATTTTTAGCCCACCTCTAATTCTTTGGCTTGTCTGATGTAGGGTTACATGAGGTCACTAAAAAGCTTCAACAATGTTGGCCGAGCTGATGACGAAGGTCAACAAGGCTGCGCCGAGCGAGCAATATGCGAGGCTAGCGCCGAGTGCGTATCGTTCGCTCAGGGGACGTCGTCCATCTTCTGTCAACTGGGATCGTAAGTGCCTACTTCGCGTTTACAACTTGTCTAATTATTAGACTGCGGATTTCTCTGTAATTTATTGCTTCTCGACGACTGAGAACCTTAAACTTTCAACTTAGATGAACGTAGATGAGTCCCCAACAGCTCTACAGCTGACACAAATTTACTTTAGAAGACATTTATCGATTAAAAGTACACGAGCGTCTGTAGTCTACTTAATTGCTAAGCAAGTATCTACAGATCATTCGCTTATTTAATCATCTCGTTGAAGGTACGCGACCAGCTACATTCTCCAAAGGCAAAGCGGCATCGGATTCGAAGCCCTTTACGACGCGGGTCGACGCGGTCGCACAGGTCAAGACTGCAGAACCCTATTCCTAGACTGCAACGCAGTTTGAGGAATCGCGTCGTGACCATTCGTGGTTCCACAGACTGGCTCGGTCGCCTTCTAACACGATCGAAGGTCCTCGGACCCTGAACAACGGTCGAGCCAACGTTAACCGATTAATTGCGGCCAGCTGCAATTAATAGGTTAACATTATAGACTCGTTGAAATTTATGGAAAGCTCTCGGTGTCCACGGGACCTGGAGACCGTCCCGTGAACACTGACAGTTGAGCGAGTGTCAAGAGCAACGCTCATTCTGGCAGACCGAAGAGAACTCGAGGAACGGTCGAAGAACGTTCGATCGTTCCTCGAAGATCGTCGGGGTTTTATATTTATGTTAGTCGAATATATCAGATGGTAGAATTAGCGTGGACTTGTCAGGCGTGCACTGACACTGTCACATCGTATCCTTGCGCTTTATGTTACAATGTATTACGATTACCCCACATATCCAGGCAGACCGGTGCAAGTAGCGTATAAACTGAGAAAAGAGGAGAAGGATAAAGCCGGAGAGAAAATGAACCGAGGACAGAATCGAGTTCACGTTCTTCCGGTACATTCTAGAACACGTTGGTAGTTGTTGCTATTTATACATGACTGTAAATAATGACGGATGTTTGTAAATAAATGTAAATGAAGTGACTTCAGGGAGACGGCGCTCTTTCACTTCCGAAGCCCAATCATCTTCCTCCTCTCCAGTAGAAAAAATTGCTTTTCAAACTGAACCGAGACCAGAAGATTCTGCGATTAACGAGCTAAAGGGAACGAGTTAAAGGGATACTCGAATCTCGATTTAACGCGTGAATATTGAATAATCTTCGCCTCTCCTTTCCACGATTCCCGTAACGCGGAAACGAAAATGGCGGCTGTTTGAGTTTTAAACGAGATCCGTAGGCAGGTTGGCTAGAAATTGAAATTTAAATATTACCATAATCCCAGCGTTCTCTTTTAATCATTAACCGGCCGAGGTAAGAACGATTTCGGCGCAGAAAAGAAAAGCTCCTCGATCGGCGGTGGCGTACGTGCATTCCGCCGCGGCGAATTCGTTCGAAATAAAAGTTGGATCATCGTAACCGTTAAATCTCGGCGAGGAGCACTTGAAAAGTAGACCTCCGGCCGTTTCAGTGACGGAGGATTGGTCAGTTCCATTGAAAATAGTACCAAAGCAGCGTGGTTATTGGCCGCTCCGTCTACCCCCACGTTGGGACCGCAAGCTATATAGGAGGCCCCGCTCGGAATTTCATCTTCAGAGCTGAGAGTCAGTGTCAAGGAAGTCTGCCTGGAAGTTAGCAAGTGAGTAGCAGAGTCCGCCACCGCGAACCGGAAGTAGCAGTCTCGTTTTCGTTTGGCATTTTCGAAATAACCCCCTCCCATCCGACGCTTTTCGACAGCTTCGAGCACGTAAGTACCGTACAAGTCGACGAAAACTTTTCCTTTCCATCGGTTCTGGACAAGCTGACGAGTTTTACTTTCGTACTTGATTACTCTAGGGTGTCTAGAAAATAAATCTTACAACGAAACGCGAATTCGACGACGCATATGGGAAATTTTAACGATTCAAGGCTTGCGCTGCAGCGCGAGTCAACGCGGACGGTTGTTAAATCCATTCTATTTTAGTGAATCGATTGTATAGAACGTAGCTATTTTTGAACTAGTTGTAGATTATTGATTGTTTTATAATATTTAATCGGTTCTAACTGCGCTAGGTTATTTTCTTTTGTACTTGAGAAGTTTAAGTATAGAAAAGCAACTTTGCAAGCAAATTTGAATGGGACATTTTTACGCTTCGTCTTAGATATTAGATCAATGAGGATTATTATAGTCATTTTATTCCAGTAAACTCCTAATGTACATTGGAATATTAACCATTTGTAAATGATCTGTAGCGAGTTACTAGTGTCTAGTAATATAGTTTAACAAACTAGAGGAATGTCTCTAGAGCGGGAAGGATTTATGAGCTCCATCGTGCAGAGTGACTTCTAGAAAGATAAGCAGCCTCGAGTTCGTCTATAGTGAGAAAGTTCAAGTTGTTCCACAGGAGCGTGCAATTTTTCCAGCACTCCGTTCGCGACGGGAGCAGCGTTCACAAAAGGCCGAGCCGGGGAACGGGCCCGGAACAGGTAGAAAATGCTTCTCGCAGGTGTCAGGGTACAGTTAGAAATCGTTCGTGATTTTTCCGGCGCGCGTGTACCGTTTTCGAAAGGCGCGGCGCTCTTCGCGCTACGTGATCGCTCGCTCTATTCTCGTACAACTTATTCAGCACGCTACTAATCGCGATCTAATAACAGCGCAAATGAAACATTCCCGAGTAAACTCGAACCATCGAAACTCTAACCAGTCACGTTATTTCCGAAAACGATTCCACTCTTCATTACCATTACTGCAACACCGATACAAGCTCATTAAGTTCTGAAATAACTGCATCGAAACATCTTTGCTCCGGAATCCTCAATCATTAGCAAAGCATACCGTTCCCGAGGATCTCGTAACAATGCAGTAATTCCAGAGTCTTCGGTGCATGAAGCAATGAATTTTTTACCATCAGATTTTCTCGGAACGCCCCTGGTACAGTTTCTTTTCCCCTTAATCATCCAAACGAAAATTTATCGTTACAGAATAGACATTTTCCACGTTCACATTTATCGCGATCGTCTCAGTGACCGAAAGTTTACAATCTTGTAACGGTCGAGTTTCCCATCCGGAATTTTCTTTTTCCCAATCGTCAGTAGAACATTTAAAATCTCGCGATAGACATTTCTCCGGTTTAGAATCCCTCATCGCTGATCATCTTCTCAACCAGAAAATCCACGATTTCGTAATGCTCGTTTGTCTCGTCGAGGATCGCCGGTTTTTTCGCCGATTATTCTCAACGAGCAGAAAATTTCTGCGATGTTCATGCGTTCGCGGCTTTCCATCCTCTTTCTCCGCCGCCTCTCCTTCTCAGCCGCCCAGTCGAGGAAGACGACGACGACAGTAGGTCGCGACCGCGTTTTCAGGTAACGGTACCTGTCGGGTTCAACAAACCGGTAGCTCCGATCGAGAAGTGGGCTACCTGGTGCTGCCAGGGTGACCTTAACCGCTCTGACACACTTTCCAGCCGCGGCGAGTCTTTCCTCCGCTGCGCGCCTCATTCGTTCGGGTTTATTCGTTCCGTGCTCGTGGGTCGCTTACTTTTCCTGCGAGATCCCAAGGACAATCTTACTACAAGATCAAGGTCAGAAATTATAAAATAAATCCTCTCTCTCTCTCTTTCTTTCTCTCTCTGTCTTCGTCGAATTTATCTTCAGCTGTCCTTGGACCAGTCGTCGAAGGTCAAGGTCGTCGGATTAAAAAATTCAATTCGAATCGTTCGATCTATCGTCGATTGTGTAACTGATTTTACTTGAGAGATTCTAAATTGATTTTAGGAAAGTAGTGATTTAAGTTCAACCGTGCTTCGAATAATGAGAATTCCAAGTTGATAGAATTCTACGTTCATTTATCAGTCAGTTAACTGTGGAATTTAGTTGGAAAAGCCTCTCATTCTGCGCGCAATAAAATCGAAAAATGGAGCGTGCACTCGTCGAATACAGGACGAATGCACGTAGAGTGTATTTTAATGAAAGATCAAAGCGAAACAAAGAAGAATTATGTTTATGTGAAAAAATAAAGAATTCATGACAGAATTAGTATCATGTCAAGCTTTACGATGTATACTCGTCAAATACAGTTAACTGGTTAATAAAAAGAATCAACCTTTAGCGGACGAATGTCGACATTTAGGCAAGATGAAACGTTCATATTTAGAAGATAAAGTCGCAAGCAAATGATTTAATTACTCGGACAGCAAGAGATCAGCGTATAGATTCTGCTTTTGCTATTATTTAAGCAATCAATACATAATTTAGCTTCATCCGTTGAAGGTTTTGTACATCTCAAAGAATCTTTGCCCGCAAAGGGTTAATTGAAGGTATCTGTGCGTTGAATATCAAAGGGATTTCCGAAAATCGTGAGGAAGTTTCGTTTTATTAGAGGGAGATCGGAGTTTTCTCATTTAGTTTAGCGCCCGGTTCTCGACAGATCGATTATAAGGATCGAACCGCGTGGGCTACTTATCGAATTCCGTGGACGGGGCGCGCGTGACACACTCGAGAACAGATTTTCTCCCGGACGAGTCCCGGATCCGAGCTCCTCCATTCTTGTTTTCTCTTTTGACTCATTGTCGTCACGCCGGGAGAGAGTCGCCTCCGAGGTTTTCGCGCGTTTACGCTCGAGATACCATCGAGGTGCGGACACCTTCTCCACGGCCGAACCGGAAGTCGCATCCTTCCCGATTTTCGGCAGTTGCTCGTCTTCCTTGCAGAATGCAGTACAGCCAGTACGTGTCGCTGTGCCTCGTGGCGCTTGTTCTTGGACAAGCCGCCGCCCTGCCGCAGCATCCCCAGTACTCGCCGCAGCATGTACAGCCTCAGCAAGTCAGGGAGGACAGGAAGTTCGCGGAGAAACCGAATGCTATGAAGAAAGTTGCGCTTGACGACCTGGATGACATCAGTACCAACCAGATTCAGGCGAGTGTCAATAATTCTTCCTTCAATAATACACAAAGGACATCATTTTCTCTATAACATTCGAAAGGTACAACACTTTCTCAATAAGATACAGAAGACAGTTTTTTCATCGAATATCCGAAAGGCACTTTTTCTCCATAATATTCACAAATCGAGTAACATAGTTTTCCAATCGCTAAATTCAACGATTATTCTCTTCATCGATCCCAATTGTGAGAAAGTTCATTCGAAATCCTAAATCATAGCAAGCGATGAAACAACGAATTATAAAAGTTGACATTTTGACTTTTGCTTTTCAAAATTGGAAGGGAAGATCTTAGATATCTTAAATATTACTATAATATTGTAAGTATTAGATGCGTAATACCGTTAAATATTAGACCATAGGAAGGTTTGAGATACGATGGTGTCAATTAAGAAGCAACGTGTGTTAGATTCGTGTACGTCGAACCTCCGATTGATTTGTTCCGGCAGGAAGGAAGCAGTAGCGGTTTCTCGTGGTCGAACATGCTGAGCATGGTGATGCAGATGCTGCTGGGACAAACGGGTGGCGTCACCGGGCCCAGCAAGAATGAGATCGACGACGGAGCACCGGCTAGCCCATGGGCGAATTTGCTTTCCGTTGGTCTGAGATTACTTACCGCTCTGCTTGGTGGACCCCAACAGCCCGTCGACGGTATTGATAAAGTGGACAACCAGAGCAGCACGATGCAAGTAAGTTGACGATGAAGGAATGTCTGCTTTTCGAAGGCCAACATGATATTTCATTCTCGAACTTGAATATCTACCAGTTTTAATATCTGTGCTCTCTTTTGCGAATGTTCTATTCTCAACATGAATACTACAAAAGTACGTGTAATTTTAATTAATTTAGAGTACACAGATTTTCTTTCATTTTTTTGCTTGCCATAGTATCCTTCGATCAGTCAGTCTTGTAAATTGTCCGCTGTTGGACACACTGTATAATTAGACAGTTGCAGAAGCTCCTGCTTAATAGATGCACCTTCCTCGCTTAATTGACATGATGTTGTACTTATAAATTCCTGTCAATTGTCTGTACGTTATGTTTTCAAATTCATCGAACGATACTGCGTCAATTAATCGAGGACTATTGTAATTACTAGACTGTGAACGTTCATGAAATTTCTAGTTTAACGAAATTAATCTTCGGAGAAGTGTGAAGATTGTAAAAACTTTTGTTATCCATGAACAACGATCACAGTCCGGTAGTTAAGATTAGTAGCGCACCTATGCAGTAGATTGTATATTGCTGAGCATGAATGAGGCACGAAGAATTACATTTCCCGAATGTTATTCGAAAAGTACAATGCTTATGGTTTTTGTGTTTCACTCACACTGATCCACAGAGGTATTTAACATCGATGCGTTTGAAATGGGAATGTTACACTCACCGAATGATATACATTTCGAAGTTTCTAAGTTAAAATGAAAATAAAATTTCTCAAAATATCTGAACTTTTAACATTAATTCTTTTACTTTGCAACTTTATAAACTTGAAAGTACAATGTATATTTTCTTGAAACTTCTTTTCGCGATCTCTTATCGTTTTCAAGATGATCTACGAGAAATTTGCATTTCTTTCAAGGGGTGGTTTCACTTTAAAGTGAAATTCGAAAACAATGGCAATGTATTAGAATCGTCTTACACATAGAGTTCCATAATTCTTTGCATTTCCGTGAGACGTCGATTTCTATCGCGAACGTATCGACTCGAAATACCTTCGTGGACCAGTGTGCACAGAACGAAAAACCAGAAGAAGATATAACGACGTCGTTAAAGAAGTCACAACGGTGTACAAAATCGGTTCGCGTCGCGAGCTGTTGCCCGCCTTAACGATGTCCCCCAGCAATTAGGGGCCGATCATTATTCTCGCACGGGGTGCGGTTCCGTTAACGATCTTCACGATTTCTAAACGATATAATTCGCCCCGCGCGATCACCGTTCACGGCCATTTTGGAGTAACTCGCGAAGTTACGACAGAACGCCGCGCGGCTTCCACAATTAATTAGCGAACCGAAAGCGCATCGTTGTGGCTGATCCGCGTAATTAGCATCGACGTTCACGGTTTGGTGTCCAACCACGACCCTCTTTGTATATAACAGTCGGAACTTGAAAGTTAGAGCACACGGCTGGTGTCGGTTGTTTAGGATATTTTGGCTGCGATGCTGGGCGCATTTCTGGGACGAGACAGGGACCCTAATCAGATTTATACCATGGCTAAAAACGCTTCCGAGGTTAGTACGCAAACGAACAAAGACTGTAAAGAGGCAGGTTTAGTGTTCGAGCTGTGAACGTTTCGCCAGACGATACAGTTGCGTAAATTAGGAAAAGAGAGGCAATAATTATTAGCATTGTCGGTTTGATTATTTGGAAAAGTCTGAAAATTTCGTTGATCGTTAGATCTGTGTTATATTCGTTATACTTTTCCCGATTAAAGACTAAATGAGATTTCGAGGAGTCGAGGTAAGATGAAACGAAAGGGACTACGCAGCCGGCGTAGCTACCGCCATCTTGTCGGTCCAGATGAGTAGTTCGATCAGTTCGTAGCGTCTCGGCGAAGCGTCGAGGGCTATAGTAGAAGAATACTTATGCTTTCCTCGTGTAGAACGCTTTCACTGTGTTGACTTAGCACTCTTAGTTACCGGCGCGGACCCTTTCATCTCGAATTAAAACAATTGTACAGAGTGTTCGGCGATCAAAGGGTCCAAGAGGATGCTCTTTAGATCTTGCGCTAATCGGATTCTCCTTAAATAGTTCATTAACATAGTGGTGAACCTTCTGGACGCCTTGAAGACTTCGTTCTCCCACCGTTCCCTGGCGGCGAGATCAATGGGAAAACGCGACACCATTTCCGAGGCTGCGGTCACCACTCTCACCATGCTCAAGGTAGACCTACGACGCCAAAGCGTGCTAATAAATTCACTCAACGTTTCTGCACGCCGAAATGAATGGTATCTTTGACGCAGGGCTACGTGAGATCGCTGAAATCCTTAAATAACGTTGGACGCGCCGAGGACGAAGGACATCGGGGCTGCACGGAGCGAGCCCTCTGCGAAGCCAGCGCAGAGTGCGTCGCGAAATCTCAAGGCACCTCTTCTGTTTTCTGTCAGTTTGGATCGTGAGTATTTTATTGATTCCTTGGATCACTCGATTACGCTGCTAATAGCTTTATAATGATTACCTTCAGAATTTGTAACTTTGCAATGCTTAACGTTACAAACATTAACTTTGCAATCTTCACCTAAGCAATTACCAACTTTGCAATATGAACCTCACAACCATTAACCCCAAAACTGTCGCATCTCCAAACTTTACACAAACAAGAAGCTACTCACCTCTTCTAACACTAAAATTCAGCAACATTCGAGAAGTATACCCTGCTTCAATCCATCGAACAGCTCAACGAATACCCCAATCTAAACAAAACAAAGGAATTAACAGAAACTTTCCGTGTTATTCCAGGTACGCGACAAGCTATCTCCTGCAAAGGCAGAGCGGTGTAGCCTTCGACGCGCTTTACGAGGCGAGTCGACGCGGCCGCAGCGGAGAAGACTGCAGGACCGTTTTCCTGAACTGCAACGCCGTCTGAGAGCCCGTCATCCCGATTCGCTGAGTACGATTTAGGCCGCGCGGGACCAGACCAGCTCCACCATCCTCGATCGCGTTCGAAATTCCCCTGCCGCGGTCCCGACGCTTAGATCGCACTCAGACCGAAAACTAGCTTTACAGACGAGGGTGGAGCATACGCAAGGAACGTGTCGGAATCGCTTAGCACTCGCCGCGGATCTCGCCAGATCCTTCCCTCGAGGCTCTCGATCGACGAGCTCGGCGCATTCGTTCGACTGATTCGGTTGTCTTTCAATCAACTCAATTCTAAGACTGTCCAACGCGGGTGGTTCGTACACGAAAATTCGAACTGATACGAATGGGCCGAGTTCCTTCGGTATTTCTGCGCGACGACGATGACGACGGAGAACAATTAACGAACGATGTGCACGCGCGGGCCTGCGCGAACTTCGAGAACCGTTCGGACAGGCCTCGAGAGACCACGATATTTATTTCTATTTATTGAGTATACTAAAACCTAGCGGTAGGCAATCACTCGAAACCCGACCGGCTACGATGCGAGAAGGGAGACGGAGTTTTTCTGTTCGAATGCTTGAACGTGTTTTGAGGATTCTTGTTTCTTAGGATCGTAAGAGTTTTTTAGGATCACGTAAAACTAGGGCGTCGATTACTTTTATTACCAGACTGCGGCCGTTTATGCTAACGTAGATTCTCACGAGGCGGCGCGTCGTGATTCGAGTCAATTGGGTGTTCGGCTGCCTCGTTGAAAGGGTTCGGAGTCAGCGTATAGAGATCTTAGCGATCGTTAGCACTCGGATATTGATGATCGATCTATAGATGCATAAAATCCGCAGTCTACCTATTACTCACTACTGTTATAACTACTATTATTACGCGGAACTGATTTACTCGCTGCTTGCCGGCTAATTCGCGGCCCTCCTTCGCTATCGAGCGATCGTTGCGAGGATGAACAAAATGAGATAGTTCTGAAGAGATGGGATGAGGAGAAAACAGAATTTCGATGTACGAAAGTTGAACGCCGCAAGTACTTTCATTGAGCGAGTAAAAAAGCGCCGTGTAGTCGACGGTGAAAATGTTACGAAGCAATTAATCGAAATTAAAGGACAATATAGACAGATCGTCGTGCCTTCGTGAAATGTAAACGCGACCGGAAGTAAGTATCTCGAGATGACGGAACGTAATCGCGGTCTCCCTGAATCGACGAACGATAGCTTGACTTATCATTCCGTATTTAATCCCTAGTTTGTTCGCGGTTTTGCGAGACAGAAATTCATTTTACCCGGGGAGGAAGACGAGCTTAGGGCTGCTGGATCTTCGAGGCTCGGTAATTATCGGTGTGCCCGGCGGGTTTTCCGGCTCGATCGTCTTCGGCTTCCTCTGCGCTCGGAGGAGGAACGCTCCGCTCGAAGCGGTCGGACCGGAATCTCGCCGTTTTGAACGACCCTCCCTCCGATTTGAACGAGTTAACGTCTCAGGATACTATTATTCGTTTCCCGTCACCCGTCGGAACTTATCTAACTGTATATAGGCAATTATATACGCAATTAGAGACGGGTGAACCTTATCGCAATAGCCACGTTCTATTTAGCTCAGTTAGCGTTATCATCTAGACCTAAGGTGTATTTATATGCGGATTGTATTTCAATCATGCTAATAAACGGTATCGTTCGCAAGTTTCTTTGTCTTCTTCATCAATACCCTTTAACAATATTCTATAGACGCTTTGTAACAGTAGCTGTCAATTAATAATTAATTAAGGGGAAACATGGTCCAACCTGTATCGCAATTTAATGTACCACAGATAATTACAGAGTAAATCAAATTGAAAATCTGTATAACGAGGCTTTCATTAACATTTTCCTTTGTTTCTGGTGTTCGCAAGCTTCATAAAATTCAAATATAATTTACTTGATTGATCGTGTGAGAAGACCTTCACAGTGCATACAGTTAATCGAGCGATACAATTGAACCATTTCCCAGCAGGTTCTCGCGATTAACGAAGATTCACAGTTTTCACGCGTTGTTTAACGCTGATGTTACCACGTAAACAGATCACCGACGATTCTGTGATGTAAATTTACAAATGGGGGTGCGCGAGATGATATCAGAGACCTACTATACGAAGTTACTGTTCCACAACTGATTACTTACGTGCGCCTGTTCCAAGGCCTCGAGTAACTCCTACCATCGTCTAATATAATTAAAAGTGGAACTAATTTGTACGGTCACAAGGAAGTACAACGGAACAACCGTCCATTGTTCGCCGAAATCTGCCTCGACCTCGTTGATCGTCGTCATCAAGCAAAACAACGAGGACAACGCGCGCGTTTAAATAATGCAAGCAGCGGAAAGGCGAACAAAGTGACATTAGGAAGCGCAAAGCTGGCCACGCTCCGTGACAGCAAACGGACTGAGCCGGCAGTTTGTCCGCCAGCTGAAAACAGTCTGTCACAACGCGTCTTGGAGACGAGTTGCGAAATAAGCGAGATTTATTTCAATCCTCGGTCACGATTCGTTCGAGGTTAGGCAACTGTCGTGATTGGACGCATCGTCACCGTGCCAAACGAACTGTTTACATTGTGATTATGATTTTAGATGACGTTGAAGTCGTTGATGAACTTTGGGAACTTGGGCAAGGATCACCGTCCCCCCGTCGAACGGTACCAAGGTGCTTCCAGAGGTTACCATCACAGTGGCTCCGGCGGATGGTATCGGGGGTAAATATAGCTAGTGTTCCTGTCGTAAACTTTTGTCACTTTTGTCTAGAATTATATGCTTGTTATTTTTTTCATGAAATTAGATATTTTAAAGTATGATAATGTAAGATGTAAAAAGAGTCAGAGACAATTGCGAATTGTGCGAATTTTCTTCAAACCTAAAATTCTTGAATGTGACAGTAGATAGTAAATTTCTTATTAGCGATGCTTGAGTAGTTAATAAAATAACTAAAGAGATATTTCTCTATCTTTCTGACTGTGCGAATAAAAATATTTCCAGAAACTCTAAGGGAAAAGGTGGAACCGGAGCTGCGCTCAGCGCCCTGACTTTGCTCGCATTTTTGTTTCTAATAAACGTGATGCAGGTGATTATCGTGAAATAAATCTTATCGTTTAGACTCGCTGTCATAATTATTAAAACAGTGTGAAAGACTCGAAACGCAGTTCATGTAGAATTTAAATAAATTATACTCGATTCGCGTTCGATTTTCAGCAATCGTTGCAGGATACTAATTCGACAATGCCGACGATGTCGCCTACTATGTTCGTGGTCCGTGAGGGCGAGTTACCGATAATAGTAGACGCGAAGGAAGAGAAGGAAGTGAAGAGGCAAGACGACGTGCACAAGACACAAGCGAAATCCAAGATTCAAAGGCTTAACAATCAGTATATTAAATAAAACGAATCGGTACATAATGATTGATACACGATAGTAGTCGAAAAAGGATGGAGAAAATCAACACGGATCGATCGGATTGGAAGCTGCTTCGCGCTCGTTAACAATCCATCTTTTTGACAAGGATCGCCGCCTTTTACATCGTATTAAGATAATATTTATTGAATCATTCTGTAACAATTCCTTAAACGGATGTGCTTTCGGAATACCGTATATAATTAGCGTACGCTCGTTATTCTCTTAATACACTCTCTGTACTCGTTTTTCTTTGTTTTTGTTCGCTTTTTTTCTTTTTTTTGGGTTAATTTCCACTCGTGTTTTCTATATATATATACATATACTTTGTTTTCTGTTCTCAATGGAATCAATATAATTAGCCGTATAATTTTCTTCGAGAATAAACATACATATATACAGCGAAAAATCTTGATCTCTCTTTCTTCCTTTCTTTCTTTCTTTCTCTCTCTCTCTCTCTCTCTTTTTTGGTTTACATGTTATTCGCGCGCGCGCTCGAACCTCGCGAACGCACGATCGAACGGACACTTCCGGTGGTCGACGCGTGAACTCAGTCGAAAGATTATTTATAAGAATAGACTCTATAGGAATAATTAATGCTGTTCCTCAGAAAATAACAGGCTTAGAGCCGTCCACGACCGACGCTACTCGCTTGTTACACGTGACGCTTTTTCTCTCTGCTTTGTGATTCTCACTTTTGTCTTCCTTCTGCATCTTTTCCCTCCCCTTTCCCCATTTTGCAAGATTGTTTGCCCATTCGCGTATTCGCCTCCTGTCAATGCGCGATTAAAGTTACTCGATTGGACTCCTATTTTTTGTGTTTCGCCAGTTTCCCCGTTCGAGCGTCTACCGACCTATTTTGCTGCTTCGCCGCGTCCAATATGGCGCCGCCGTTCCCGACAAAATGGCGCACGCGACTCGTTGCCCGCCGACGAAGACTCGATCGATACCGCGTCGAAAACCGTCCCATTCGAAACTCACTTTCACTACGCGAGTCGTTCTTTTCGGTTTCCTACGATCTTGAACAGATAAAAGAAAGCGAAAACAAACATGGCCTGCGTGTCTCGTTCTTGAACCGCGGACGGTTCCCCGCCACGAATTTGTACGTAATATTACCAGCTAAGCTTCCTGTACTAATTCACTTACAACTTTCCGAAGGCGAGAGAGCATTCTAGAGTCTAGAGGAACGCAATTCGAAACGATTGAGCCACCCGTCGATACGCGAACAAATTGTTTTCATTTTGTTTCCCTGCTTCTTTTTAATTCTCTTTCACCGGTTGGTTTTCTCGCTCTTCCTCTCACACACACGCGCATACACTCCCCGCGTTTCTCTCGCGGACGGGCTCTCCTTTCTCTCACTCCCTCTCATACCTCTTCTCAGAGCATTCCCGCGATATGCACTCTACGATGCTGTATTTACACAATGGTAGAAACATTTAAATACTCTTTTTTTTAGACTTCATTCGTTTCGTCGAGTCACTTAGAAAATAATCGTGAACGCTAAGGGGAGGCTGGATGTGGGTGGTTTACGGTGAATTCCAACAATACTCCTCCTTCGTATTCTCTTTTCGCCGCTCTGCCTGGAGACCAGAGAAGGGTTAACTCCTGCTGACAGATAGAAATCCATAGAATGACGGAAATTCGAAGATAAACCGCAATAGAACCTTTTCGCTATTCCCGTTAATCTTCCAACATTTCAAATTGTTAATCACGGTTAACTCGTCCTGATTTTGGTACGATTTTCAACCGCGATGTTTGCGGCACATTAACTCTTTGCTTTGCAATATACTTCACGACTAAGCTCGCTGAAGTTACTTTGTTCTTCACCATTTTTCAATAAGAAAGATAATTCTATATTTCTTCTTTTTATCAAATATAAAAGAAAAAATGTAAACCGAAAGGTTCCCATGAACTCAATTTCGTGTCATAGCCACGTGTTCAACTGTATATTACAGAGCAAGAAGATGAATTATTCAAGATCAGAACGAATCTTGTTCATCGAGGAATGAAATAACGACAGAGTCAAGTGGTTACACTGCGTTTTCTTCATTTTAAGTTGAAGATCTCCCTCGGAGAACAATAGAGTTTCGTCTGCGCTCGGCAGACGATCTCCAGGAGACTTCGCATCCGCCATTCCACGGCCGCGAACGCGAAGATAACGACGACGAGTCGTCTCAGAACAATGCCTGAACGTCCGACGAAGAGATGAAGCTACGCACATCGATATTCAAGGAAAAAACACTACTTGAGTTACGCGCGGCTAACGCCCAAAGGTTCTTCCGTTCACGTCTCGCTCTACGGTTCTCTTTGTCCAAGGGTGAAGGGTTTAAAAAGTAGAACGATTACTCAATTCCTAGACGCGCACGCGGGAGAACCCGTGGAAGAATCGGAAGTTCTTCCCACTTACGCACCGGCGCACCAACTTGGAACAAAAGCGTCGATCATCGAATTCGAGATTAACCGATTCGCCGTCGAGAAAGTCGATCGAACGTTATCTTGGATGCTAGGAATTTATTCGAAAGAAAACAATTAATTCACCGCAAGGTGTCTCGCGGTCGAACGAGCCGAGACGACAACCGGTGCGCCGCTACGGGAATCGCGTTTCCCCAGCGATTAATTCCGTTTTTGAACACAGTGTTTTCGTGAACAGAGCTAAACGTAGTCGAAGAAACGTAATTGAGCAGTGAACATGTCAAACGCGGCCGCGTTTCCTTTATTCTCCCGCGATCCTCTACGAGGCGATCGCCTGGCCGAGAGTACAGATGAGAGAGTATCGTCAATAGAGGTCGCGATTGACCAGTTTAGCTACGCTAACTAGTGTGTCCTCTAACGATCGACCAGCTACATGCATCGGCAACGGAAAAAAACCACGAACGACCGATTTTCGTCTGCCGGAAACGTTCACCGCCTGGAAAAGATCGCCTGTTCGAGGGCAGACCGGAGAATCGCATTCATCCTCGTCGCCCAATTACACACGCTGCACTGCGCTGCGGGTACCGTGGCTCGTCGCTCGTCCAGCTAAATCAACAAGATCCCTATCGACCGTAGACGATCCATATTACTTTACAATTACCTCTACTACCTTGTACTCTTTAGGTCAACTACCACGGGGCCGGAATCTTTCTGTCCAAAGGGAAGACAGCTGACACTGGGCTGCGCGAGACCAGAATTTTGATAGACCGAGACTTCCAGCAATAGAGATCTGAGTTCGAGTAGCTAACAGGTTGATATCCTGAGCTACGATGCTCGTGAAAGCGTAACTGAGTGACATTAAAAGTAAAATTAATATAATGGGATCGTAATATAATATAATGCCGTTGTTTTGCTGCAATAAATACAAATCCATAGTTTAGACTAATGTGATTCTAGAAAATGCGATTAATAGTCGAATGAAAGTGAAAACGAGAAGCTACTGAAATATACATTTGATCGCAATTACTAGCTCAGTTGGTAGGTCAAAGACACCGAGTCAGCTTTTCCCCTGCAGTCTGTTACGTTACGCGGTCGACGCCAAGCCAAGCGACTAAAGAACCGTTCAAGTCAGTCGTTTCGAATCATTCGAAAATTCTTGGCCGTCCCTGCGTAAAGTGACAGTCGGACCGATCGATTCCGACCGTTCGCGGCTGTTTGATTCTGTCTTGCGCCTAAGCTCGCTAACTAATCGCCGCCTTCGAGTTTCATTCTCGTGGCAAGCCGCTCCCGTTCCTGATCGCTCGCTAATGGCGGACGGTGGCTCGCGCCCGACAAAATGGAGATACTTGGGAAAAAGACTCGAATTCCATGGATATGAAGCGCACTCGATACTCGGACCACTCGCGCGCAATATTCTTAATTAATACTGATATAACGAACTAGCGATAACGCGCGATCGTGCGCGACCAACGAACTTCCCGCGATAATTGCCGAGATGATTTAACATCGATTCAACGATTCGTCGAGACGCAATTCTAACCCTTTGCAGTCGAAAGTTTCTCACTAGAAATATTCAACACTTTCCGATGAAACGTAAACGGTATTCGTTGGAATTAACCGATGAGAAGACATACATAAATTAAGAAACAAAGATGTTTTACTTCAATCTTTCACATATCAATGAGTTACACAATGTTTAATACTATATATAAGACTTTATACTTTTGCTATATTGTATCGAATGATGACTGAGAGCCCACTGCAAAGAGTTAAAAGACGCGTTCGAAGTTTCGCCACCGTTAAAACGTTATAACACCGTGATGTCTTCGAATCGAAAAACTTTGATTTAATCCGCCGATACGGAACTAATGGCGGCCATATTGGAAACCAGCCGTAACGCTTCGAATCGAAACGATCTGTGCCTCGACGGATAAACCGTTTCCTTTCGCTGAAACGCGTGCCCGTAAAATTCTCGCGGAATGAATGATAGCTTTTCGAATGATAGCGAATCGTCGAACGAATCGGGAAAACATCGCGTGCGTAACGTTCTCGAGCGCGGCAGGTCGTCGGAACGACAGCGATCGCGTAAGTATGCAGTTACTTTCAACATTCGATAAATTTTCTTAGCGACGCCAGACCTCTAGAGCATCACGGAAAAAACACTTACAGAGCTAAAAGTCCCTATCTACATGATATGAGAAGCTGATCGATGATTTGCCTCGGTGCACGGAGCCACCGTCCGCCGCCTCGACGGATGTCGTTCGCGCGGATGACTGAAACGTGCCGTTCTCTATACCGTTAAGGAAGCATTTTTGGTCAACGCGCGCGCACGCACACACACTCACACACACGTACACACACCCTCGCACACGCGCACACACGCACACAGTCTCACGCGCAGACACACACACGAGCAAGCATGCTTCTGTCCGTAAAAGGTAAACGTGAAATCTAGATAACGAGGAGACGAACGAGTTCTCGTGGAAGGTTGTACGCTCTTAGACTAAAAATCTCGCGAGAATGGTAACGTTCGACTATTACAAGGTAAGTATGTACAACGTGTTCAACGCACGAGAGACGATAGCAAAAAGGTAGCGGAACGCGCGGCCGTGCACGCGTTTCCGTGAAGCCGCGTCGAATGCGCGCGCTTCCGCGAGGAATCTTCCGAGCCGAAGATCCGACGGGGTTTCCGGGAAACACGGGCAAGGCTCGTTATCGCGACGAGTAAAGTCGAGGATAAGTGACAACAACGATCGAGACTGCTCGAGACGCTATGAGACACATTTCTGCGGCCGATCTACTCGCGATTATCCCTCACCGGACTCGTCTGAACGAGCACCTCCGTGCTGCGTCGAATTTTGAGTTGGCCCCTTGACGCGTTCACTATTGAACCGTCGATATGAATATCTGAAAATCGAAGTGATTCAACGGAACGGAAACTCCGAAGTTACGATTCATTGGCGATTGATCCTTTCGTCTTCTTGCATCCTGTAAATCCTACTGAAACTTGTTTCACCGATCGTGGATGTTCTATTTCGTATTTGAATAAAACGAACGGAACTAGAATGTATAGCTAGTTCAATGGTCAACGCGCAAGGAGGGGGGGTGGGCCGAAATTCGTTGATGAGTCTCGGTGAATCGAAACGGCGCGTGAAGGAAATGAAAGTAAAAAAAGGAGAGCAACGAGAACTCGGCCGAAGGAGTTCCAACGAGGAGGAGAATCTGTTAAGGGGAGAGTAAGGCGAGGAGGCATGCCGTGGAACAAATTATTGGTGCTGGATCTCGTCAGTCTCGTCCTGGGACACGATGCTGGACCTGTTCGACCGTACATCGAGGTCCATGCCGAACGGTTTCGACGAGGAGTCCACGAGAAGGGTTTGCGTGCCCTCCTCGATGCTCAGGCTACACTCCAACGAGCTGTCACTGAAAGTACAGAAACAGACTTCTACTCATCACTAGCGTCTTCGACGATTGTCCTATGGAACGGTGCCACTGTGACCGACGATCGTACCCGGGCGCGTTTACCTGACGACGCTGGCGTGATCCACGGAACCGGACGCCGGCATTGTGCAGTTGTCGCCGTTGCAGGATCGTTCGCCGTTGCTGCTGCAGGAGGACGACGTCCTTGTCGCGGCTGCTTCTCTCAGCGACGCTCTCCGCGACTCCTCGTGACACTCGCACCTGGAAAATCATTTTCCTCTCGTCAGCGATTTATTAGGATACCTATTATTACAAGAAAAAGGAATTATTAACAGATTAACACATTGTTGACCGGTCACGAGTTAAACCGTGTTTGCAACGCAGAAAAATAATATAATAGAAATATTCAAAGTTATATAGAATATGTCCATAGATTCATTGCAATGCACTATGTGTAAAGAAAGTATATTGAAGTTTATTTAGATTATTTCGCTTTCATATTTAATTGCGAAATAACCGGTGACATGGATAGCTTCTGCGTAAAATTGCCGGTCAACAATGTAATCTTAGGAGATTGAAATGACGACTTAAGAATCTATTCTATAGAGGAAATGTATTCTTTATTGAACTTCTGTTTCGATTAGAATTCAGATTATTAACTTTGAACTGTTAAAGTTGACGCTATTGGAGTATTAACATCGGTAAAGATACAATATATCAAAGTTGCGATAATGAAACTTCCAATGTTTCAAGATGACGATTCAAGGATATTGATTTCATCGAAAGTAAAGTTGCATTCTAATTCGGTATAGAGCGCTCACCTACACTCTTCCGGCTGTACGTAGCTGTAACCGCCCGATTTCGGCTCGTCCTCGGTACGCGGGATCGTCTGGATCCTCTTGGGGGCTTTCCTCTTCTCCGGGATCTCCTCGAAATTGATCCAGTTGCTAGGTCTGGCTGGTGCTCTCGGTGGCAGTGGCGGTGGACTCGGCGACTTGCCCGCGGCCTTTCGACCCCCATCGGGTACTTTGCCCGCGAACTCCGTGAACGTGTTCGCCGCGTGCTTCCGCGGGCTCTTCAGCTTGCGACTGTCCTCTCGCGGAAGAGATATCTTCATTTTCTCAATGCGACGCTCGTCGAGCGACGTCTGCATCACGAACTCGTCGAGGAGAGTCGGGTTTATGGGCGTCGTGGACCGCGGCCTCTCGATGGGTATCGTTCTGAACACGATTGATAAACCATGCTTCTTATTATTACTGCCAGCTCTAGATTTGTCTTGTAATTAATCGTCATCGAAATTTGTCTGATAATAAGTACTCCGGCGTTTTAAACGAAACTCCCTTAAGTTAACGGAGCAACGCCATATAAGCGGCATGGCAGTTTTACTTAATGAGTCCACTGCCGTGTATATGGCAAACATCATTTGATTATTTTTATCACTGTTATTCTCGTAATATTTACAACTAACAAAGATTAAGTATTTAAGTATTAAGCTAGGTCACATCTGTGAATTTCCGCTTGTTATCCACGTTACGGTATTTTTTCAAGTAAACTTGAAATACTTCCAGTCTGTTAACACTAGAACCACCGAACGAATCAAAATGTCCCATTCCTGATTTCTCCATAGAAAAATACAGTAGATGCTTTTCCGGGAGTTATTAAAGAAGTTGATTTAGCAATACGCAAACCGAATTATGAATCAATTAAAGTAATAGACGCACTCTTGGAGTTTCTATAAAGGAATTTCAAGAAGTCAATTTCAGTGCTCGGTAGTTCTAGTGTTAAGAGATACAATACTGACATAATCTCTTGAAATTATTATTACACTTCTTCCTTTACGTTATCGTCAAATAAAAAGGACAAATCATCGACCAATTACTACAATAAATGAACCCTCTAACTAGCCGCAATAATTCTCGTTAGAATCAAAACCCAGCCCCATTCCGTGGCACATATACAAAATCCATAGCCTAATTCTTATCCTCCTCAACCTACCTAACTTCTTGAAGTCGTTGTTTGACAGGCAGGATCGGCACAGCCACGCTCTTCTCCAAAGGTAGGGTGGTCGGTATGTAGGGTAGGTCCTCCTCGAAGCTCTCCTCGTAAAACAATCCCTTCCTCTCGTCCGGCAACTCTTGCGCGAGCTTCTCGGCCTTATTCCTAATGAACTCGATCTCGGAGTCCCTCTCCGACTCCGAGCTGTTATGATCCAGGTCCGAGATAACGCTGGGCGCTTTCGTGAGGCCGTCGTCCGGCCTCAGCCCGTCGTCGATCACCTCCGATTTCCTGCTCGGCTTGCTCTGCGCCGGTTTCTCCTTGCTCGGTTTCGGTCGCGCGGCCTCGTCGTCGATCCTCTCCGGCGGTTCGATCTGTTGCACCTCTTTGCTCTTCCTCTTCGGCTTGGTGATCTCCCTCTTCCCAGTGGAATCCCTCGACGAGCCACTGGACAGCCTGTGCTCCGACGAAGAGGACTTGCCGTCGGTCGGCGACGGTTTGATCGCGACCTCGGCCACGGTGACCTTGCCGTGAGCGCCCAGCTTCGAATCCCTGGAGGAGCTCCTGGAGATCTCGGAGTCCTTCGAGACGCTGCGCGATATCTGGCTGTCCCGCGAGTAGGACCTCGACGTGGTCTCGATCTGAGCCTCGGTCTTGATCTTCGAGGGCGCGGGATGATGCTCGATCGAGACCTCGGTCACTATGCTGCCCGTGCGAGGCTCCGACTCGTATTCGTCCAGCAGCTTCGTCGGCGTTTCCAGCGGGATCGAGACGCTCTCGGACGGCAGAGCCTCCTCGTAGTTCCTGTCGTCCGCGTGCAGGCTGATGAAGATCGAGTCGTCCTTGCGGCTGTCTCTGTCGGCGTTGAAGCGGAACTCCACGTTGCCGATGCTCTCCAGCGAAGGGTGCCCGCCGGTGTCGTCGAGATCGGCGCCGCACGCCGCCGAGATCGCCTCGTCGTAGCTCTTCTTTCGCTCGCGTTTCTTGAACAGGCTCAACGTCGACGACAACACCCCTTTGTTTTTCGAGTCTTTCCTCAGGCCCGAGCCCTTGTCCAATGACACGCGCTCGCGGGACTTCGACCTGCTGCGCAGGCTCTCCGTGGTGTCCTTTATCTTCGAGGTAAGACTACGTCGCGGCTTGGTGCTCGGCGACGGTGATTCTGGGCTCAACACACTGCTGTCTGTTCGGCCCTTAAAAGTTGAACACGCGGATCGTCAAGTACATGCAGTGTTTTGTTTTTACGCAGACACACCCTGCTCGACTAAGCTAGCGGATCTTCTACAAAGACAAAGCAACGAATCCATGGTGCGGGCAGAACGAAGCGGGCAAGCGTATACGCGCGGCCTGCGAGCGCTGCGGGACGATCGATCCGACGGGGGTTGACACGGTTCGCCGCGGAAAGATGGCACGGTGTGCGGATCTGACTGTTTCGAGTATACCGGGTTGCTTCGGTTAGTTACTAAAGTGAATGATTTTGATATGTTTGTCACTCAAATGGAGGATTTGATATGACAGGTGGCAATAATTAATCATGATCACCTTTAAATACTAGTCTCTTCAAAATCTTACATATTTAAAAAGTGCAATACCAATAGCAGTTACTATCATTTCAAGTAACACGATAATTTCTCAATCCTACATAATCGTTTCAAAGAAAATTATTCAACTCTGCGGGTACAACGCAACTGACAAACTTTTAATAGTTAAACCGTTGATATCACGGAATCGTCGTTCCGCAAGGCTCGTTCAGCTGCGCTCAACACTACAGCGATGCTAGACGATCAATGCTACCTTGAAGAGGGAGGCGAAGCTGCTTTTCCTAGAAACGGAAGAGGGGCTCGGCGTTCGGGAGCCCTCGAGCTCCCGTACTTTCTGGTGTCTCGGTAATTTCGGGCTTCCCGTTACGCTACTCGTTGTTGGAGTCGTTTGCACGATTTCCTTGAAGTTCTGCGTCTTTTTCCTCTTGTCGTTGAAGTCCAGGCTCGCCGGCTTCTGGACCTCTTGGGTCTGATTCCGGCTGGCCGATTGTTGCGGCGTCGTTGTACCGTCCGTCTCCGCTGGCTTCTTCACGATCGGCACCTAGTAATGCAGGTAATTTCAAAAGAATTTAATTTCAATGATTATCATACTTGAAATAGAATGCAACGATGTGGTGACTGAATATAAATTTAGAGGATGATGAAGCCGATTTTACTCTTCGGATATCAGAAGATACTATCGATATCGATATCAAAGATGGAACGCAAAGTTTGGATCTGATTTACTCACTTCTATGTTAACCCTCTCCAGGAATCTCTTCGTGATCTCGACCTCCCTCTTGAAGATCTCCTTCCTCTCCTCGCGGCCCCGTCTCCGTGGTTTGTCCAGTGGGTCCGGCTTCAGATTTCCGTCGATCATCGAGACCTTTATGCTCTCCGGTATCAACGCTTTGGTGGTGTCCGCCTCGCGTTTCAATAGAATCTTCTCCAGGTCGTCGGTTTCTGGCTTCGACGGCTCTATCAGGTTGTCAGCCAGGGTCGGCTTGCTTCCGCAGAACGAGGTCTCCAGCAGGCATTTGTGCGGGCTTGGCGACCTAGCGCAAACCATCTAATTTACTCAAACTTTCAACGTTTGCGCTGGAACTCCTATAAAAATCCAAGTATTTTCCTAATGGGAACATCTGAATCTTCTCATAAGGCTTTCTACGTGGTTTTTAGAAGATTTTTGTAATTCTCTCGGTTATTGGTTTCATATATTACTATATTATTATATTACGATATTACTATATTACTATATTACTATATTACTATATTACTATATTACTATATTATTATATTATATATTATATTATTATATTATTATATTATTATCTTACTGTATTACTATATTACTATTTTACTATTTTACTATTTTACTATTTTACTATATTACTATATGTTATATCTGTTATATCTTAACTTCGAAACAAACATTTCCGTACTATTTACTCTACCAAATCTACAATCCATCCTCTCCCCACGTCATTTTAATCACGAAATAAATGATAAAGACAGCTGATTAAGCGAGGAAATCTCAATTCTCGTACCTGGAGGAAGTAGCCGAAACGACAGAGAGCTTGCCAGAAGCTCCCGAACCCTGGCTGCCCACGGACGACAGTCTCGACGTCCTGCCGCTGATGTTCAACAGCACGATCTCGGAGCAATTGCTATCCTTTCGTTCCCTCTCCAACTGTTTGCTACTGTAATCCGACAACGAGCCATCCTCCTTTTTCCTCTTGGCTAATTTCTTCGATTCTCGCCTGAGATCCTGCTCGTGGATCGGATCCTGCAGGTCCAGTTCCTCCGTGGACGATCTCAGATCTTGAGCGTCCTCTTTGTAACCCAGCGTCAGCTTGCACCCAGGTGGAGGCTCTCCGCCTGCAACGTTCATCGTCGGGACGAGTGTGAATGCGGCCCGCGCGACAGAGCGGTTCGATCTACGTGTAACACCGAGTCCAGGCAATCCGGAACTAGCTACTACCAAGTATCAACCTACTTCTATCGAACTATTATTGTCTACAATCGATAGAGTAACAGTTGGATGAACCGTGCCCGGATGAACGGCCAAGCATCATGCACCCCGAACTCTTCTATGGAAACGGATTTCACGAAGATAGTATACACTTTTCGTTCGTGTTGGTGGCAACTTTGAATGTATGAATCACTCTATCGGAGCTAAGGTAATCGAGTAACTGACATTTAGCATTCACAGTGTTTCGTGGAAAGTTGCTTCTTCGAGATTATAGAACGTGTTTAATGTTTCATTGGTAGCAACAGTTGGGTCTCTGCGTATGTCTACTAGAGTATGCTAGAGATCGAAGGAAGTTTCATCTACTTTTCAATAGAACTATGGATTAAAAGAAAAAATGTGTGAAATATTAGATACTAACAGATATAATGTTATAAACTACTACTTAGTTACTACAATAACTTGTAGAAATGAAATATTCCAACCCCTCGCTTCACGATACATTCTAACATCCATATCCTTGAAATTCTATTCGAACTTACGGTTACCTGACTCGATACTATCAAGCAAGGGGTTAACAATCACCAAATCAAGAGACCAACGATACTACAATATAAAAAACCATAGTATAAACTCGTTTCTATTTAAAATACAACTACCAGTCTCTCAAAGTGAGCCCTAGAGTACTTTCAACGCCTAAATACGTTAATAATCTCAACATCTCGATGCAACGGATAGAGGACTCAAACTCACAATCAATTCTTCACTACGTGTACTATTTCGAATAACTTTTTACTCAACACTGCCTTGTGACCGCCAACTATTCGAAGAATACGTCTCGCTACACCGCCCTGATTAACCCTAATAAGACCACGATGTGATTTTGAGTCACATTTCAACTTTTCACTGAAAGTTTTTGATTATTTCATACTGCATCTCCAAAAGTTTCTTTCGACTTTCAAAATTTGGGCCCGATGGATAAAAACAATAATCATTCCTTTTTCTCATAAGTGACTGAGAGTCACATCGTGGTATGATTCGTTGGAAAAACACGTGTTAAATATCCGGTGTTAACACATTGCGGACCGGTAACGAGAAATCTCGTCTTTACATAAAGACACTTAGCAACTTCGCTAATTACCACAGTATTGGAAAAGTTTAATTCGAATTGATCTATTTAAAATCTATTACACAACAATATATCTGAGTATTTCTATGTATAGTGATACAAGTTGACCTCGGTGAAAATTGCCAGCCGCGCAATTCAGTTTTCTGAAAATTAGCCGGACCGCAATGTGCTAACAAGAGGACAAAGGGCTAGTTGACACGCCGGTTTCTATGGGGGCGGGTTAGGTGAAACGTGTTGCGTCTTCCTGCGGGGCACAATGTTTGCGCGCCGCGCGACAACGGTCGCAGGAATATGGGACGAAGTTTCAGAGCGCGGCCGAGTTTCTCCCACGTAACTCGCCCGCGACCTGTATTAATTCGCGGCCGCACGCAGAAACGGGGGAATCGAGCCTCGCGTTATCTCCGAGGACCATTTAGCAGGCACCGAGAACGTCTCGATCGATTCCCGGCCGCCGTTCTTCGCGGCGTCCCGCTGCGAATTCTCGTTTATACGACGCGAGGTATGGATTGCTGGGAACCACGATGTAAATCATATCCCTAGACTATTCTGCACCGATTAGTGAAATTATTGAGACATCGATGTTGCCTGCATTGTCTACAACGATCTTTCCATTCATTCTCCGCGATGGTACTTGCATCGGTTAAACCAATTGTGCACAGTGATATTTTCATCAATTAAATCAATTTTCTATAATGATATGTTCATCAATTAAATGAATTTTTTATAACGATATTTTCATCAATTAAGTCAATTTTCTATAATGATATTTTCATCAATTAAATCAGTTTTCTATATTGATATTTTCATCAATTAAATCAACTTTTTATAATGATGTTTTCATCAATTAAATCAGTTTTCTATAATGATATTTTCATCAATTAAACCAATTTTCTATAATGGTATTTTCATCGGTTAAATGAATTTTCTGCGATGATACTTTCATCGATTTAATCAATTGTGTACAGTGGTATTAAAATTCAATTTTCTACAATATTTTCATGAACTCCATCAGTCAAAGTTAAAAACTATTGGAATTGTTGAAATTATTGAAAATTTAAGGAAGCTTTTCTTCAATAAACGTGCGTTCGAAGCTCGAATTCATTAAAAAATAGATTAGTAAGTAATAATGTAATATATTTTAATAATTAATCGTAATCTATGAAAACTGGCTGAATAAAATCACGAGAGTCTCGAAAGTTTCAAATATCGTAGCAGAAATGGATGGTACTAAAAGCGATAATGAATTCTAATTTATGTTAGCGAGAATGCATTTCCGACATGAATGATTGCACCGTGGCCGCGTAAGGGATTCAGATGTTAAAAGAAACGAAAGATCATCAGCCGCGGGGAATATAAATTATCTAATTTCTGACAACTTTTGAGTTACTTCGCCACGGTTCTCAGCACGCCATATGCAAACGAGATCAACCAGGAAAAAATAACAGTGTTTACCGGTGGGGTTGGCTTTCTTATCGCCGGAAACTATGGCTGCTGGAAACAGCAATCTATGGCTCGAGCCTTTCCGCCGCTATTTATGCACGAACAATGCAAGTTGAAGAACTTTTCAACCCTCGGAACACCGGAGGATATACGCTCGTTAGATAAACTTCAGGAAGAAAGTAATTAACCATGGATTGCAACGTACAACGATGAACCGAGGTATTGTACAGTAAATATTCCCGGAAAATTGACGATCAACTACAGTTTCTCTTATTACTTCTCTAAAAAAAATTGTTCGAACAGAATCGAAGTAATACGTCCATACTTTTCACTGAACGAACGGGAGGAATAACGAAAGACCGATATTCATCGAACTCGTTAAAATGGTTTGTTTCATAATATCTGTTAATTGTTCCAGCTCGCCGTTACGCCGGAATTCTACCGCAGTTCCAGCGGGGGAAGTACCTTTCAGTTATTTCAGGCAGTACATCGTACCGCATGCAATATTAAAATGCCACTGCGAAATTTGCAAGTGTATTCCATTCTTTATGCCCGATGTACGACTCCCGAGTACTTCCGGCCGACGATACAGCTAGGCAATAAACCCGGCGGGACCATAAACAAGATCATAATTCATACGCGATGCTGGGTTGATCTTATTTCAAAAATATTCGCCGCTGGTCCAAAGGGAGGAATTATTTTGAAACGGCGCACTTCGCGCCTTTCGACGGTCGCTTCGAACTTCAGCTTATTTTTACGGCTGCGTTAACTTTATCTCCTTAGACATTCCCTAGGCCCTTACAACGCGACGCTAACAGAATACTCGATTTCTACGATGAAAAACTACGAATCTATGATTTAAAGATTTCTCAAATGCTTTAGAAGACACAGAGTAGTGATATTGACATTAGAACTACCAAACCAGTCAAAATGGTTTCAATTTTTCTGTTTCGCTTATTGATATCTTCGAAGCATTGAATATTAAATGATTTTGAAAATAAATAGTTTCACTTGAATACTATAATGAATGTCTGAAGGAACTGAAAATAATAATAATAATAATGCTTTATAAGACAGAGTGATATTAACACTAGAACTACCAAACCAGTCAAAATGGTTTCAATTTTTCTGTTTCGCTTATTGATATCTTCGAAGCATTGAATATTCGAAATGAGTTTGAAAATAAAGAGTTTCACTTGAATACTATAACGAATGTCTGAAGAAACCGAAAATAATCTATTATTACTAGAAAAAATAAAATACTACAATATTCATAACGATTACATTTCCATTGTATCAAATGCTCGGTGGTTCTAGCGTTGAACGGAACAATGAAGTGCATGTTATTTGTAATAATATACAATTTTCTATAGCAATCTGCTATTTGAGAACCAAAGGAAATTCCACCGAGACTGCCCAGAAACAGATCGTTACTGCTAAAACTGGAGGACTACAGCGTGTGCCGAATATTTTCTACGAAACCCCCGGGGAAAGCCGAGCCGCGAGACAAAGGCAGAGTCTCGGTATCAAGCTGTCATTGTTTGATTGCCACGTCCAACTTGAAATTTCCCGGCGAGAAGGGGAACCGTTGAGACGGACGCGGCCCGTCTACCGTTGGTATAATTGAATTTTGTCACACGCTTGTCCCCCGCTCCGCACGGAAATTCAATTTTCTCGTAACGGCACTGCCTACCGCCCGTTGCAGGAAAGAAGGCGGGAAGGAGCACGCATTTTCGGCCCTTGCGTGCGATTCGTCGAAATCGTTAATTGAAATTGATACATTACGACGTTCAATCGATACAGTTTCCTCAAAAGTGTGTTTGTAGTATCTATAACAAAACTATAGGCTGTACAAAGTCTTTTTCGTTTTACGTCGTAAAGAGTTATACTGAGATTTATAATTGTGAACTTCCTGTGGTTCATTAAGTAAGAAACAGTTACGGGAGAAGCAATAAAATGTAGGAGAGAATGCTATAAAATTTGTCGAGAAAAATGGAACAAGAAGAAGCGGTAATACGCTAAGTGCAAAGTTTATCTGGAGAGGAAACGGTGTTAACAGCCGCGTTTACCAGCATTCCTCCCCTAGTTTCTTGCGGCGTAATTAAAAATCACCGGGAAACTTTCACGGCGCTAATTAAGGACCACCCCGTAGGAAAAAGCAACGGAACAAGAAGAAACTGGAAGAAGCGGGGATGAATTCCGAACGCATCCCGAACGTCGGGGCCAGTAACGAGCGGCGAGGAGAACATTTGCCGGATTGCACCCGCAGGACTTTTCAATATTCCCTCTAACTAGAGTCCAGAGACCGCTGCTGTGTATCACGGACCTTGGCGAACCATTGGGAAACAGAGTTTCTCGGGCGAAACTGCGGTAAGCCCGGCACGCATACAGGGTGACTGGAAAAGTGTCCGAGACTCTCGGGGGTTTACTGTGCTCGTCAAGGAAATTCGAAAGTACCACGTTGCTTAGCACATTTCTTTGAAGTTTTACAACAACGGAGAGTATCATTGACATTACCACGTTAAGCGCCATGAAAATCTCGAGCGTCTTGCCGCTGTTATTCTTTTGTAGCAGAGAAAAGCAAGTAATTTGCTGTTGCAATGTTTGCCTTACACTATCAAGTTAGTCGCGTTATCAAACATTCGACGGTTATCTTGCATGTTACGATCGTTTTCTAGTCATTTAGAGGCATCAATCATCAACAATTAACATAGTGCTTAACGTGTTACCAGACTCGTATTAAAACAAAAGAAGAGATCGAAGCATCTTTTAGAAGCATGAAAACAAATTCTCGAATTCTCCTTCGAAATGATCGGAACTGCTTCGACGCACGCTATCCTTCAATTCTCAACCCTTCTTCCCAACCACCCTATAAGCTACACGGATCAGAAACACCGAGGGATCATCGAAAAGCTGAAAACACGTCCGGCACGTTTCGGGAGCGGAAAAGACGTCGGGATTACCTGCGAGAAGCTCCCTCTCCGGCGTCGAGTCCCTGGAGTTACTGTCCTCATGGTGGGAGGAACTGCTCGCCCTGCTGATGTCAATTCGCGGTGTGCTGGGCGTCTTTAGCGAACTACCAGGCGTAGCCGGCGTGGTGACCTCGACGATGCCTGGCATTCGCGCAGCCGGTTCCCCCTGCATTCAAATTCGTAACGCTGGTTTTTCGCTCGGGTCACAGTCACTGGGGTGTGGTATTGATGGTTGGTGGTTGGTGGTTGGTGGTTGATTGATTGATTGATTTTTTGGTTGGTGGGTTAACACAGGTGTGTCAGCCGGCTCCCTGTGGAGGGATGCGTAGCTTCGATTTTTCGAACGGGGGAACACGCAACGATCGCCGAGTTCCTCGGCGAACGATCGTCGGGCGTGCCTCGCCCGAGGCGCAGCCGATTTGGAGAGGACTCAGGGAGGACACAGGTAAGGACTCACGTTTTCCACCTCGTCGGACAGGTCTTCGAAGGATGCTATCGGCGCTGGTCCAAGCTTCCTCTGATGGGCGCTCGATATGCCTGACGCCATATTTTTTGATAGCTCAGCCCTCGATGATGCTGCAAAACACCCTTTGTTTTAGTCATTTCTCTACAGATACGGGTTGCTCGGATTCGCTGCCTTGATACCTCAAGGTGACTGTCGGTTCGTCGATGTTTTAGTTAGTTCGTTTCTCCGTTAAGGAACGTTAAGGTTTTAATTTTCGGAAGTTTCAAGTTGATGCTTAGATTCTGGTTTGAGAAAGATCGGTCGAAGCGTTGCGAATGGTAGCTGAAATCTAGGTTTTCATGGTTTCAGGAATTGTCGAGGTTTTTACTGTGACACTGGATAGATCGCTTGTAAAGAGCATCGTCGCCGATCTTTAAATAGGACGCATTGTTCTCTGGTTCATGTTACCGCTATTAGAAGTCTGGTCACATCGTGTAACCGATACCTCCCACGCGCACCGAGCTGAAGGAGATAATCAGAGCCAGTGTTAGAACATTTAAGCGAAGGACGAACCGATTAACTCGCGCCACGTCGTTCAGGATGCGGGACATTGAGAGCCCTCGTCATCCGTCGTCGTTGATCGACCACCTGACCTCCAATTTTCTAACGAACCGTTTCTATCTACCGGGTGACCGAGAAGGTTACAACTTTTCGGCAGATTCATCAGTGAAATCTCACCACAGAATTGAAGAAATCTTTGTTTCCGTTGACGGAAACGATAGCGGCATCGATAGGTAGCAGAGGAAATTAACCCTGCAACAAAGTTAGAAGATTTAACAGACCATTGCAGGTTGAAATACGTGCACTACATTCCACGTAAAGGACAATTCGAAATTTCCGAAGCAATTTTCGCTTAAAAGGTATTTCCAAAATCCCTAAACAATTTTTCTGTAAAGGATATTCCTAAAATTCTTCCGCAATTTTTATACGGAAGATGTTTCCAAAATCCCTAAACAATTTTTCCATAAAGGATACTCCTAAAATTCTTCAGCAATTTTTATACAAAGAATATTTCCAAAATCCTTGAACAATGTTTGCATAAAGAATACTCCTAAAATTCTTCAGCAATTTTTATACAGGAGAAATTTCCAAAATCCTTGAACAATGTTTGCATAAAGGATATTCTTAAAGTTCTTCAGCAATTTTATACGGAAGATGTTTCCAAAATCCTTTGCATAAAGAATACTCCTAAAATTCTTCAACAATATTCATACAGAAGATGTTTCCAAAATCCCTGAGCCATCGTTGCATGAAAAATAATTGGACAATTCCTAAATAATACAGTCAGAAGACAGCTACGAAACATGCAACGAAAAACATTCCCAGCTGGTTGCAGGGAGATTGGACCGGGGATTTTTAACGAAGAACGGCCCGGGAAAGCCCGCAGCGTTCTCCGCGCCGTGCGACGGAATTAACCGGGCGTTGGTTCTCGGCGGAAACCGTAGGAAACCGTGGTCTCTCCTGCGAGCAAACATCCCGACAAGTTGACGCCGCAAACAAGCTCAGCACGGGGGAAGAGATTTATGCATATAATTGGACGCAACACCGTAGGTCGGCCCGAGATTTCCTTGGTGGTTCGATCCAGGCTGGCTTCAATAAAAATGCAAATGGCTGATCGAACGCCTTCGATCGCCGCTTCCGGGTAAAGATCGATTTATCGTATCAAATATGGAATACCGGTATGTCTGGAGCGTATCGTGTTCGAACGGATCCATTACGTTGTATATAAATATTCGTATTCGACTACCTACAACAGGAATTTCCAAAGAACTACCCCAGAGTTCACTGTTAAATAAATCACGAAGAATTGGAAGACATACTTCGCATAGTTGAATAAATTGAATCACTAGAAATAATATAATTGGCAATATAATATTGCAATATTACCAAACTTTCATGTGTAAAGTTGCAAAGTAATTTAATCATTCGAACAGACCAATCCATAATTCTTTCTCTACCTGATTCGTACAATTTGATGCAGCCATAATTTTCATAATACTCAGAAACCACTGCTAATAAATTCCATAAAAGCTTCGAAAGTACTCGATAAGAATGCTTTATCCGCAACCGTGTTGTCTGGCTGGGTAATGTAAACCGACCTCGATCTAGTTCCGTATCGTACGAGCGATTCGACGAGAATCGAAATTCGACTGTCTTCGGAACTGGCATCGTATTATACGAGCGCAACGCCGCGGAGTTGAAAATATTCGGCGAAGTTCCGAAGGGAAGACGAAGGGGAACTCGTAGAGGACGATCGTTTTCGGGCAAGGTATGCGATTCCTCCTCCGTTGGCCTCTTTCGAACGGAATGCTGGAACAATCGGGCGACCGCCTTTACAAGCCGGGGAATGGAGTTTGTTCGAGAAAGCGGCCGGGATACATCTGGGGCAGAAACGAAGGGAAAACGTTGCGCGGCCAGAGAATGCACCGGTTTCATTTTTTCTATTAATGAGAGCCGGCGCTTGAATCGGCGCTCGTCGTTTTCAAAACTTTTACTCGCGACGGCACTCGAGGGGCTTCAGTATCTTGTTATAATAATAATTGAAGCGGGACACAACGGAGCGAAGAGTTTAACGAGTTTCTGAAGATCCCCGGATTCGTTTTTGAGCACTCGAAGAGTCTAGTGAGAATGTATATACAATCAAGTGTTTCTTCGAAAGACGAAGAGTCTTAGTAATCAGTGAACGGTCGCGTCTTAATTCTATTGTTGAAGCGTAAACCGAAATTTATGGAACAGATAATATATATATATAGTTTTGAGATATTAATTTCGAAATATAATATTTCGAACAGTTTCAGCATCTTGAAATATGAGTAAATCTCGGCTTCCAGTTTGATTAAAAGAACAATTTCAACTCCGACGTAAGTCCGCGGACGATGGTCTCGTTAGAGGATACGCGGAGTTTCCCTAATAACCTTCAAACTCCGGTATAAAAGAAAATACACTTTTCCCGAGGATAGATTCACTTGAGTGCACCATCCCACGGAAACGGTGTATTAAAGATTAATAACTTGAAGAGCTGTTCTCGGTCTCCTATGCATCTTCGTGCACAGGTGCATACATTTACCTGTCCCGAGAAGTTTCTATGAAAAACTTCCACACCGAAGCGAAATATCGTTCAATTCTCGTTTATCAACGCTACCAGACAGATTTTTCGACATATTCCCCAGGTGCGCGTTTTATCTTGACATCCGATTAAAACTACTGCGAACTCGAATTAAACGCCGCGAACAACGAAATCAATGTTCCCGGACAGATTTTTCGACATATTCCCCAGGTGCGCGTTTTATCTTGACGTCCGATTAAAACGACTGCGAACTCGAATTAAACGCCGTAAACAACGAAATCCGATGAAGCCGCTGAAAACTTGGATAAAACGGAACCCGCCCGAGGATTAAGCACAGCAATTAATTAGCATACATTGCTGTATAGCTTCGATTGGTCGCCAGTTTGTCGTGGCAAAAACGAACAATATTAACTCACAAATTGCAGAGTTCATTGCGATTCTATTTTTTCGTTGCTTCCGGATCGATTTAATGGGAATATTTCCTTCGATTACCGGCCATGTAAACTTCTTTGTTTAGAGAAACTGCGATAGGAAAAGGTGCGCTAGAATTTAAGAGCAGCCTGCGAGGGAACATGGAAACAATAGGAACGGTAGCGTAAAACAGGCGTGACCTCTAGATGGGGGTCACGGTGGCTGATGGTTTAATTAGAGGAATGGCGCTGAGCTGGCGCCGATTTCGCGTTGGCCACGTTAGGAATTCCGCATGGAAAAAGGAAACTGGCGATGTAAGAAAGGTCGTTGATACGCTGAGTCAATTAGCAACGAAGTCTCGAGGGGCTCAGACGGAATCTCGTGCTTCAACGTGTTAAACACACCGTGCACGGCCGTTCGCTTCCTCGGCGAAAAAACCTCCCGGCGACGGTTCTCGCCGCGAGGCAACGACCGGTCGAACTTGACAGAGGGAAGTTAGCGATCGATACGAACAGGTTCGATTCGAACGGAAGGAACGATCGGAGAATATCGAGGATCGCTTGGGCGTCGGTAAAAATGGCGCGCGACGATGAGCGGGGTGTAACGAGCATTGTTGACACGGCGCATGCGCGCTTTAAGTCAATAATATTTAATCATCGGACTGCGGAAATTTACCCAAGGCCGAGTTTTCATAAATAAATTTGAAAATTTGTTTTCGCTCGTCCGTGCTGTCGGCGCGTTGAAAACGGGACGATGCGCTGGAATGAAAATAAATTCGCAGGTCTCGACGATGAAACTTTTCGTTATTAATTGCTTAAAAGATTTGCAATCAGGCAGGGGCAGGCGGTAAATGATTTCCCACGCCGTTTCTCGGCTGCATTTATCAATGTTAATCATATAAAAGCTCGGTTTCCGTATTGTGCGATGGAAAAGCGACGTTCACCACCGTCGGAACGAACGATCAGACGTCGTCGAGTTACATGTCCGTACGGGAGACGAATGTAAATATTAATCGAGTAAATTGCATCGGTGCAGCTTCAGTTTCGTTAATTGAAAGTCGCTTCGCGGGGCATCATAATTAAACGGCCCTTTAAAATCTCGCTTGTTTGCGTGCAGCAAACTTATCAATTACACGCGTTATTTGTCGCGTTTTAATGAAAGATATACTGAATATATAAACTGTGATAAAACATTGATTGGAAGCATATTTGGAGAAATCATTTTTAGACACGAATCGAATAAGAGCAATTCACCGTAAAATCCCACGTAGAATAGCAGGTATATTAGTCAAGAAGACTCTGTGATTTGAACATAAATACTCAGAAATATACAAAATCAATTCGATTGAATTGTATTATTATTGCACGCAATTCGATAGGATTGTTCATAATACAGAAATGCCAAATAATCGTCGTTTAATCGACTGAACTACAGTAATTCGATTTGGTTCACCGACCCCCGTAGCATTCAACGTGTTAAAACGGAAATCTGAATTCTCTGGGAATCCCGACATCTTGGAAACTCCATATGATTTCAATTTCTGTCCCGTTGTATACGAGGAAACGTGTCTGCGCTGTATCGTCGAAAACTTGAACTCTTCGAGATCGTAATCGCGGGAATGGGGCACGGTCGCTGGAACGAAATTAAAAGAGCAGACAAATAAGCGCGAAGGCCGTAGGAAAGTTTCGAAGGGAGGCGATCCATCCATCGCGCTGGTAATATCCTGAAAGTTGGAGAATTTGGCCCGGAGCCGAGCGAAAACCTGTATGGATTTAGAATAGGTCCGCTGGAAACCGTCCTCCAAGTTTCCACCGGCTCTTCCGTTCGGTTTGCGACTCGCGAATGATTTACGCGCGCGCTCCGCGGTTACGGTTTCGAGTCTCGAACGACCGTGGACTCGATTAACCCGTCCGACGAATTATCGTTAATTAACGGCGATAACCGGCCCCGTTATAACGCGAGAAAACAGCGCGAGCGATAGGCG